CTGCCTTAGCCACACAACTGATCCCGGAAAAACGTGCCTCATCTCGACGGCAGTGTGAGTTGAAATGCAGCTGCCCATGACCCCTCAGGTGTCTGAGTGCTGGCATCTGAGCCTGCTGGGCAGGTTTTTTTTTTTTTTTTTTAAATAATGCCCAGATTTGGAAAGGGAGCCCCATGCCTGGCCTGGAAGTGCTCTGCCGACAAGTTAGATTTCATGGGGGAGTTGACTAGAAGGCACAAGCTGGACAAGCCAGACAAGTTGAGGCAACCTCAAGTCAGCTGAGCAGAAGCCCTCGCCCGAAGTAGAAGCCAGGCGCAAACGGGTAGCTCTTCCACCGTTTCCCAAGCTGCACTGAGCCAAGTGATTCTTGTTGGATGTATTAACCCAGGTTCTGAAATGCCATCTTAGTTACGTGACCCCTGACCAGGGAGATGGGGATGAGGTGCTGGTGTGGACAGCAGGCAGTGGTTTCATATGCCTGAGGCTGGCAGTGAGAAGCAGAAGTGCGCCTCCCTCCCCACTGTCAGTGCTGACTTCTCTGTTCCTGCCATTGTCCTGCCTAGAGGATCAGTCACGGCAGAGCTGCTGACAAGTCGCTTAGGGTCATCTGTGATATGCGACAGTACTTCTGAAGAAATAGCATTCAAAGGCTGAGTGCAGTAGCTCATGCCTGTAATCCCGGCACATTGGGAGGCTGAGGGAGGAGGACCATTAAATACTTGAGTCCAGGAGTTCAAGACCAGTCTGGGCAACATAGCAAGACCTGTCTCTACAAAAAAAAAGACGAAAATTAGCCAGATGTGGTGGTACGCAAATGTAGTCCCAGCTACTCAGGAGTGGGAGGAGGGAGGATCACTCAAGCCTCAGAGGTTGAGGTTGCAGTGAGCTGTGATCTTGCCACTGCACTCCAGCCTGGGCGACAGAGTGTGACCCTGTCTCCAAAAAATAATTTTTTTTTTTCTTGAGATGGAGTCTCTCTGTCGCCCAGGCTAGAGTGCAATGGCGTGATCTCGGCTCACTGCAGCCTCTGTCTCCTGGGTCCAAGCAATTCTCCTGCCTCAGCCTCCCGAGTGAGCTGAGATTACAGGTTGCCACGACTGGCTAATGTTTTGTCTTCTTAGTAGAGACAGGGTTTCACCATGCTGGCCAGGCTGGTCTTGAACTCCTGGCCTCAGGTGATCCATCTGCCTCGGCCTCCCAAAGTGCTGGGATTACAGACACGAGCTGCCGCGCCTGGCCAATTTTTTTCTTTTTTTTTAAAACAGCATTCAGTAACTGCTGAGAGAAAGCAAAGGCCAAGTTACCGGGGCCCTCCTGTGCAAAATCCACTTAAATGAGTCATACATGGACCACTTTAGGGAATAGATTGTGTCATTAATCTAGTAAATTAGTTTTAGCTACCCATCCCCACCCAATTTCAGAGAAGAGTGAAGAGCTGTTATGTAAAAGGACAACTGATCAAACTGGATCTCCTCGTTCTGGTCTGTTAGCTCCCTCCAGAGTTTTCACATCTGCTGCAGCAGCTGCTGGGCCCTGAGGGAAGGAAGGGAGACTTGCTGGGAGGTGGGCAGGGCGCCCAGGGCTGTACACTATTTCTGCGATTCACTCATCAGCTACGGCCCCTCTGCCCTGCATGGAGGCGCTGCTGTTTGGAAAAGCTAATTGGTTTTATTTTTCCGTCTCTGGTTTTGGCATGATGTGAAACACCAAGGGGCTTAAAGAGCAAAGTGGAAAGTGTCTTTGAACTTCATCAGGTATCTGAAGGCAGAACCAATTAAAAAATCATGCTTTTCAGACCTCCCCAGCAGAATTTCAGGATGAAAGAGAAGGAGGCAAAAACCCTCTAAAGACAGAAAAGAGAAAGTGGAACAGCAGCATCGCTAACCCTGCTGGCAACGTCCATGTTCAAACACTGATGTGAAAATCCAAGAGCAATGAAGGTTGCTCAAAGGCCATCAGCTGAACCGGGGCTGTGGCTGGGCTTCTTGCTTTGGAGCAGTGCACGTGGGGCCCACCCACGGGAAGGTGCTTCAGCTGCTAAGTTGGGAGAATTCTAAAGGCTCAGTAAGTCCCACATTATCCAAACCACGGCTGTCTCCAGGAAGGGACACTGAACTCCAGCGACCCAAGACAACATGGACATGAAAGAGCACAGCTGCAGGCCCTTTTAGTCCTCAGCCTCTGAGGCCAAGAAGTGCGTCTGTCTGGTGTTGGTGCGACTTTAACAGGTCCCCTCTGGGACTCGCCAACCTCCTCCTCAAGAACAGTGGGCCTCAGACTCTGCCTTTGGCAAACAGCTTTATTTAGATAGATTTTAACAATTCTTCAGTTTGTGTTATAGTTTATATGGCAAAATATAAAGTTTATAAAGTTAAGTTTTAGAAAGTGATTTGAGGTTTTTAGAATGCTGGATAAGTAAACAATAATATTGAGATCTGGCTGGTCTAGCACGTCAATCGCCAGTTGCTAACCACTTTAATTGGGAGGAAATAAACTTTAGAAATGAACTGGACCTACTCAGTAAGCCTCAACCATGTATTTTTAATAAATTAGAAAGGTGGTAGCTGGGCATGGTGGCACACACCTATAATCCCAGCTACTCGGGAGGCTGAGGCAGGAGAATCACTTGAAGGTGAGTCACAGGAGGTGGCGGTTGCAGTGAGCTGAGATCATGCCATTGTACTTCAGCCTGGGCGACAAGAGCGAAATTCCATTTCAGAAAAGAGGCCGGGCATGGTGGCTCACGCCTGTAATCCCAGCACTTTGGGAGGCCGAGGCGGGTGGATCACGAGGTCAGGAGATCGAGACCATCCTGGCTAATATGGTAAGACCCTGTCTCTACTAAAAATACAAAAAAATTAGCCGGGCGTGGTGGCAGGCGCCTGTAGTCCCAGCTACTCAGGAGGCTGAGGCGGGAGAATGGCATGAACCCGGGAGGTGGAGCTTGCAGTGAGCAGAGATCATGCCACTGCACTCCAGCCTGGGCAACAGAGCGAGACTCTGTCTGAAAAAAAAAAGAAAAAAGAAAAAGAGGCCAGGCACGGTGGCTCACGCCTATAATCCCAACACTTTGGGAGGCCGAGGCCATCTCAAAAAAAAAAAAACAAAAAAGAAACAACATGAAAGCAGGTGTTCGTTCTGGCTGCAATCCAACCACTTACAACTAATAGGTAGTATGTAGGTTAAGAAATATTTACTGCCAGCCCAAGCTCCATGCACCCCGGCTGTGAGTCAGGTCACAATGGCCCCAAAACCAACAACCTCAACAACATATGTGACGTTCCTGTCTTCTGATGATGGAGTACATGGTTGCTAAACTTGCATTCCTTTGAAGGCAACCTATCACATCAACCTCCAGTTGCTGACCATGTTATATAATGGAGAGGAAAGGACAGCACCTGGACACCAGGTGCCTCTGAGCGTGGCAGCCAATAGCACCCAAGGAGAAACGTCCTCTCGTTTCCATCTAGAGGGACAGCGCCCTTCATTGCTGCCATTTCCTGGAAACCTGCTGTGTGCTCGGCACTTTCATTCAACCTTAGACTCGGGCTGAGCTTTAGACAGGTGCCGCTGCTGTCTCAGTTCCAGCTCTTGCCTGAGTCTACTGTCTCCAGTGTGAACACTAAGGAGACCCTTCTCTTCCATGTCAGGAGGGAGGTTGACAATTTGCCTGGAAAATGAAGAAAGACCCATCATGTCTGTGTCCACATTTTACCCAGAGGCTCCTGGAACATCCAGGAAGCGTTAGGAGCTGGGACAAGTCACCAGATCTAATCACCCATTTGTCCTCCTCCTCCCAGGAAACCTGAAACCCTCTGACACCCTAACCAAAGGCTGGCTGTGGCCATTTTTATCATCCGTCTAGGGCAGCTGTTTAAAATACAAGCTCAGGCCAGGCGCGGTGGCTCACGCCTGTCATCCCAGTGCTTTGGGAGGCCGAGGCAGGCAGATCATGAGGTCAAGAGATGGAGACCAGCCTGGCCAACGTGGTGAAACCCCGCCTCTACTAAAAATACAAAAATTAGCTGGGTGTGGTGGCATGTGCCTGTAGTCCCAGCTACTTGGGAGGCCGAGGCAGGAGAATTGCTTGAACCCGGGAGGCGGAGGTTGCAGTGAGCCAAGACTGCGTCATTGCACTCCAGCCTGGGCGACTGAGGGAGACTCCGTCTCAAAACAACAACAAAAAAAACATGTTGCTGCCAATGTTATATAATGGTCATAAAATATAGGCTCAACAAGGCCAGAGTTGGGACATGATGCAAGATGTCAGTATGATATGATAGGAGATTTGTAATCCAATTTGGGGAAGTCTGCAGTGGACCTACATTTCAATTTTCAGTTTCAATAACAGGAAAAGTTTCTTCCTAAACACTAGAAATGAACTTGACCTACTCAGTGAGCCTCAACCATGTATTTTTACTAAATCAGAAAGGCAGAAACAGGCATTCTTTCTGGCTATGATCCAACTGGTCACAGCTAACCAAGGCTCACTTCCACCAGACCAGGGGCTGCTGTAGAATCTGCCCAGCTGGCCAATTTGATGGTTTCACTTCTAGAGGGATGCACGGGGCCATGTAGCATCCTCCTCTCCCTTTTGGCTGCTCTCTCTTTAGTAAGGTCACCTTCTGCTTGGAGTGGTGCCTGGCATCCTACAGGGATGCAGTGAGAGTTAAGAGAGAAACGGGAATTCCTATGAGGTGCTAAAGCCATCCCTTGGGATACGCCAAATAAGCCATTACATACTGGCCCGCTTTTTACGTTGGATGAGATATCACAGGGCCCGGAAATGGGTGTGACTACTGACTTCTTGAAACTACAGCTTTCTCCCTTGAGTACTGGAGGTGGCCTTTCTGCCCAAACAATGAGGTTTAAGTCAAATACAAAAGCAGCTGGGTCAGGTGACATCACATCTTCTGATTCCAAGGTTGAAACAATTTCGAGGAGCTGGCAGGGCCAGAATTCAAAGGACACAAGGTTCTAGTCCTTGAAGACTACCACTCTTACTGTTTGAGATGTTTATTTCTTGGTTTTAGGGTTAAACCCCAGCTCCACGTTTACTCCGGAAGTGTCTCCCCTCACCCTGGGAGGAAGCTTGTTGCCGTTTTTGGTTCTCTTCCTCTGCCAGCAGATCTGCGTGAGACGTGTTTCCTCAGTCTTTCCCATTGGTGAGACAAATCGCCATTAAAGTCTCAACAAATACAACTGTCCCTTGTAGAGGAACCAAGCCTAAGAGCGCTGCTTCTCTGCCCCGGCTCTGGCTGGTCGGAGTACTAGCAGTTCTTGGATTTCCGCTCTTTTCTGGCCCTGGAGGCCATGAGGCTGAAGAAGAGCCCGGGAGCCAGAGTTCGAAGATAAATGGCCAAGGAAGGCAGTAGGTCAGCCAGGATCACATCTTTCTTCTTCTTCCCCACAGCAGCAAGAACATCGTGGGCCACCTCCACGGGGCTTCGGCCCTGGGCTGTGGTGGTGTCCATAACTAAAATAAATAAAGCAAAAGAAACACATGAACTAACTTGGAAGCAGAGGTCCCTCTTGAGGAGTGGAGCTGATGTGAGCCGTCAGGTCAGCCTGCTGCCTTTCCCACCACGAAGCTCTTCCCAGGGCCAGGAAGCCGGTGGTGGGCCACCACCCCTGAGGATTCCATGCTCCCAGGAAAGGAGGAACCATTTTGCAGCTGGATGTGGGTCAGTGGGGGAAGCGAGAGCGGGGTGGGATGTGGAAACAAGGTAGACTGAGGATCCCAGCTAGGGCTTGGAACCAAAGTGAGTCTGTCTGCCTGGTGGTCCACAGCAAAGGCACAGAGTGAGCCCCTCCCACTGCATCTGAAAAGCAGCTTCCTGACCTGGGAAACGTGTGCCTGTTAGAACAACTGAAGACTAAGGGATGTTGTGCCACCTCATTTGTCTTGGGTAGCCTGGCTTCAGGGTGGCCAGACAGAGGTGGCTGGGGACTACTGATGCCCACAGGCACAAGCTCACTGAGTCAGGAGCAGACACATGTCCCTGTTCTCGATGTCAAGTACTAACTGGATGAGAAACAGGAAGAAATCCTTAGTTTGTTTTAGGTGTTAGAAGGGACAGCTGGAAGAGATTAGAAGGAGGTGTTAGGTTAACAGCAACTGATGTTCCTTCTACCCTAGTAATTTGACAATTTTGCCAGCAAAGTAGGACCAGCTGGCAGGCACACAGGAGCGGCCACTAGCACAGACCATGTGAAACCACTTTTTTTTTTTTTTTTTGAGACAGGGTTTCGCTCTGTTGCCCAGGCTGGAGTGCAGTGGCACAATCATGGCTTACTGCAGCCTCGACCTCCTGGGCTCAAGCCATCCTCCTGCCTGACTCAGCCTCCTGAGTAGCTGGACTACAGGCGGTGCCACCATGGTTGGCTAATTTTCATATTTTTTGTGGAGGCAAGGTCTCGCACTATTGCCCAGACTGGTCTCAAACTCCTAGGCTGAAGTGATCCTCCTGACTTGACCTCCCAAAGTGTTGAGATTACAGGTGTGGGCCACAGTGCCTAGCCATATGAAACCACTATTAAGTTGTCCAGCTTGCCTGAGCTCCCTCACCAATGTCTGTTCTCATGGTGTTTTTGTTAATGCAGAAAAGTAGGAAGTTTTGGATTACAGCTTATTTTGAAATGCCACAGAGAGAATTTTTTAAGTGGCGTCTTCTAGGTTTAAACGGGTGTAAAGCTGTATGAAGCCCCATGCCTGTGTCTAGTGTCTACTGTGGGAAAACAGGACTTGCTGTGTGAGCGCAGCTCTGCCAGGACACGGGCAGTCTTGGTTCAGGCCTGGCTGGGCTGGATGCAGGACCATGAGGCCCCTGGCAGACATCACAGCACAAACCCCAAGAGATCACTTCAGGGAGGAGGACATGGCAGGACAGCACTGGAGGGGTGAGCAGGCCCTGTTCCAAGCAAGGGGAGGCAGCCCCAGCTCCAAGGGCTCCAGTGATCACGGGCACACTGGTCTCTGCTTGGCCTGAGCCTGCATGCTGGGGCCGGCTGCTCTGCCCGCGAGTGGTGACTGCAGGTCAGCTCTGCACTGTCTCCAAATGAGACAAGATGAAGGTGCTGAGACTGCTGCACTCGGCCTCACCCTGAAGACTGGCCCGGAATCAGTCATTTCTCAAGCCTACGGGACAGAGACAGACCATCAAACACCCTACACTTGCCATGAGGTCAGTTCACTCAATTCCGATGCTGATAATACTCCGTGGACTCGGGATCTGCGAACGGGTTAGTTGGGAGTCTGGTGGCATCCCAGCTTGGCAACTTCCTTTTAGCCCTTGAGTCCTGTCCACAGAGATCCTATTCTGAACGCTGCAATGGTGGCGTTCACACTAAGGGTAGGCCATGGTGGGGTAAACGAAGATTATTCAGTAGTCCATATCTAGAACCAACGCCTCAGTTTTTTCACTTTAGAAGTTCTATTCCAAATGAAAATGACCAAAGAATCCCTGATGTAAGAACCGCATGTCTCACTGTGGCTGACCGACAGATTTTCACAGGAGAAAAGAGAAACCGGGCCTCACCTCCATACCTAGATCCATCCGCGGTGATGGCATTGACAGAGAGGTTGGTGTGGATGTAGCCGGGGCTGATGACGGTCACCTCAATTTCATACTGTTCCATTTCGGCGCGCAGACAGTCAAAGAAAGCCTGGGTTGCATGTTTGGAGGCTGCGTCTACACGTGTGGACGGAGAGGCAGGGGAGTGAGTGCGCCGGGGTGGGCATGGCCTGGTACCCAACTATTCACCACCATTCACGCTCTGTGTTCTCAAAACCTGGTTTTACTTGTGATCAGGTCTTGCTATGTTGCCTAGGCTGGACTCCAACTCCTGAGCTCATGTGATCCTCCCGCCTCAGCTGGGACTGCAGCTTTAAAACCTGGTTTTATAATTTAAGATTACAGTATTATAACAATGTTCATTTCCTGACTTTGAGAAGTGTACTGTGCCCTTGTTCTTAGGAAACACACTGAAATAGGAGTAAACGAGCATCATGTCTCCAGTTTCCTTTCAAATGGTTCAGGAAAAAAATTATAAGCTATATATACATATAGTTTTATATATATTATAAACGGTATATATGTATGTACACAGACAGGGAATATGATAAAGGAAATAAGGTAAAAAGGTTATTAGGGAATCTGCATGAAGCATGCATGGGAGTGATTTGGGCTGTTCCTGCAACTTTAAGTCTGAAGTTATTCCAAGTTAAAAGTTAAAAAAAAAAAAAAAAAAAACAAACTGAATGCCTACTAGGTAAAACATTCAAATGGTATATAAAAGGGCAGAAAGTAAAAAAGAAAGAAAGAAAGAAAGTCCTCCTGTCTTCCAAATTCCAATCCTAGAGATAATCAGTGCTAACAGTTTTCCAGGATTTTTGTTTAATTCTGTTTTGCGTTTTTAGAGAAGACATCTTCTCTGTCACCCAGGCTGGAGAAGAGCTGTGTGATCATAGGATTATAGCTCTTTGCAGCCTCGACCTCCTGGCCTCAAGCAATCCTCCCACCTCACCCTCCCAGAGCGATGGGATTATAGGAGTAAGCAGCCATGCCCAGTGATTTATTTCTTTAATATATCCTACGTATAGCCATGTGATTTTACACATTTTCCATAAAATATATATATACATCTTTTAATACAGAAATGAACTCTTACCTATTCTACTATTCCTGCAAGTAGCTTTCTTCACCTGGTGGCAGGCCGGACAGCTCCCATGCTGGCCCCGCAGACCTGCCATGTAGCTCTGGCTGCCTAGTCCTCCCCAGTGAGTTACCAGGTGACAGAACTGGCCCCATCAGTGGGCCTTCATGGGTGTAAAAAATTCAGGCCTGCCTTCTTATGTATCTCATTTTGACAAATATCCAGGCAGTGGCTTTTCATCTAGAAGAGCTACAGAGCTTACTCCACCTGCAAGAAACAGCTGTGTCTGCCCTCGAGCAAGGGCTTCACAACCCAGTAAAAGGTGCTCTGAATGGGAACACAGTGACCCTATAATGACATTCCTGGGAAACATACCAGCGTCTCCACAGTAAATCAGTTTCCTCCAATTCAGAATTGTAAATGTTTTAGCCTTAGGAAAGAAGGGGCATCCGTCAGCTAAGGAAACAGGAAGGGAGAAAGCAAGGAAGTGTCGCAGCAAGTCACATGAGGCAGTTCAGTAGCGTCTGAGCTTGCTGCAGTGCCTTGCTGGGCCTGCTCCGTTGGTTTGGGGCACAGTTGCTGGGGGCTGGATGGGTTGGCTGTGGGTGGATGGAGAGGACTGCCCCTATCAGCCATGATTCCAAGAGTACAGCCCAGGCTTGGGGACAGGGAAGAGTGGGTTATCCTGTAAGTCCCCAAAATAGAAGGCTACACTCTGACAGCTGGTTCTCCCCAGAGCTCTCAGGCTGTGAGTTCTCAGCCAGGCTGTGCTGACCTCGCCACTGTCCACATCACTTACCCTGCCAGTGTGCGGCCCAGTACTAAGCACACTGCGTAGATCACGTGACTTGGTCTTCACTGTAGCCGCGTGAGAGAGAGAATGCCGTTCTCCCCATTTTATAGGTGAGAAGGCTGCTACTTATCTGGGTTAACCAACTTGCCCAAGAGGCACTCCATATTCAGCCTGGTCATTATAAAGCTGAATATGGAGAACAATCATTGTATGCCTTACTGCAGTCAGCAGGCCAAACAGACAACAAAAATCAGTGGTATTATTATAAATCAAAGTAAAACTTGAAAATAATTTAGTATAAAGGACTCCAGCTGGGCGCAGTGGCTCGCGCCTGTAATCCCAGCGCTTTGGGAGGCTGAGGTGGGCGGATCACTTGAGGTCAGGAGTTTGAGATCAGCCTGGCCAACACGTGAAACCCTGTCTCTACCAATAATACAAAAGCTAGCCAGGTGTGGTGGCACGTGCCTGTAATCCCAGCTACTCAGGAGGCTGAGGCAGGAGAATCACTTGAACCCGGGAGGCGGAGGTTGCAGTGAGCCGAGATTGCACCACTGCATTCCAGCCTGGGCAACAAGAGTGAAACTCTGTCTCAAAAACAAAACAAAACAAAACAAACAAACCCTTTACCCTGATTTACCCATTCTTAACATTTTAACTCATTTGCTTTATTAGTTATGATTCTATATATATTTTTTTTCCTGCACCATTTGAGAAGCCTTAGATGGTGTCCTATCCAAAGTTGAAAGAGAATATTAATAAACAGGGAAAGCTGCATGTACAAGCATGTATGATGATTGTAAATCTCACTAATATGTAAGGAAACAGGATCAGAATAGTTAAGTAATGTGTCCAAGAAAATACAACCAGATTTTCTGGTTGTATACCAGAGCCAAAAGGTACAGCTGGGATCCAGATCTTGGAAGAAAGAATAAATTATGTTACACTCCCAGTTCACAGGTGGCCATATAGTGTCATGGACCTGGATGTTTGTGGCTGCCCTTGCAAAGTGCTGCAGCAGCTCAGATTTCCCTGCCTTTGCTGACCAGGCTGTGGCTGGGTCTAGCCTTTGGGTGGCTGAGAGGAGATAAGGCAGTATTTCCTTTCAGGAGGTGATGCAAAGAAAGGACAGTTTGTGAAATTACCTTACAACCCTTTTTATTGAAACCCTCCCATTGAGTGCCCCAAGATATAAATATTTGAGAATGTTCTACATAGCACACTGCTGCTAATGGTCAAAGACCGGGGGAAAAAAAAAAATCCTCAAGTGTCCAGGAAAATGGCTAAATCAATTATGTCACATGCATTCAGTGGACTACTATATTGAAAGGATGAGGTAAATCCATACATGCTGATGTAGAAAGATACATTGTTAAGTGGGATTAACAAGCTACAAAGCAGTATGAATAATGCCATCCCATTTTTGCATGTTTGAATTACATGTAAGAAAAATTGTGGAGGCATATGCCCCAAAGTGATGGCATGGTTATATCTGTGGGACAAGCTAATAATCGTAACAGTAGGAGTGGCTAGCACATGCCTAGTGCTTAGTGCCTGGCGCAGCTCCAAGCACTGTGCTCACAGCAGTCCTCTGGGCTAAGACTGAGGCTGTCTCCATTTCCACTTGAGGGCAGGGCACAGAGAAGTGGGGATACTTGCCCAAGGTCACACAGGGGACAAAAAGTAGAGAGTTGGGATTTGATCCCAGACATGTGGCTCTGGAGAACACATTCTAAAGTGCCTTTGCATTCTGGATAGTTTATTTCTACAGTGTCTACATTCTAGACAGTAAATGTGTTACTTTTCTAATCAGGAAAAAACCATAAAGCAGAGCATTTTGTGGGAGAGAGCAGTACTCACATGCTGATCGAAAAGGAATGCTGATCTTGCCCTGGATGCTGCTGATGGCGACAATGTGGCCTTGCCTCCTCTTGATCATGGAGGGCAGGAGTGCTGAGGACAGAGGCAGAGGCTTAGACGAGCACCCTGCTTCCAGTCATTGCCTGTGATGCTGATGGAAGGCGACCGTGCTTTTGGTATTTAGTCAGAGTAAGGGAGAACGGTGAAAACCCCTTAGGGTGGAGGACTGTGTTGGAACTCCTAGCCTCCTATGCTCAGCAGAGTGCCAGCAGGCTGGCAGGAGAGAGGAGAGAGGCAAGGAAACAGGGACGGAGGTCACTGCAAATGGTTAGCTCAGTTCCCTTTTCCTGCTGGAGCCTCTCCCCTGGACTGAAATCCGTGGTGGGACATAAAAATATCCCCACCCTGTAGGGGTTTGCAGACACCATGAAAAAGACACGTAGGTAATGCTGCACAAATGTGGTCGTCACTAAAGAGAACATCTTCATTGGAAGCTATAAAGCAGATACCCAAACTGTGACAATAACACCTAACACCCACTCCAGGGCAATAGAGAGGATGGAGATAGGGAACGTTTAGCTGGAAAGGATCCGAGTGAAGTAAAAAGAATGCCAACGTATCACTTATCACTGCTCTTTTCTCAAGACTGTTACCTTTCGTTAGAGCAACTGGGCCAAAGTAGTTTGTCTCCATGACCCTCTTGTCCACATCCACTGTGGTGTCCATGATGGTACCACGGTAGCTGATCCCAGCATTGTTGACAAGTATGTCCACATAGCCAAAGCACTGCAGGATCTCAGCTGCTGCTGCAACTACGGCCCCAGGGTCTGTGAGGTCGAAGGTCACCAAGTAAGGCTTGTGTGTCTGCACCTGGTCAAATACAACAGACACCAAATTCACTTTCTGAGTGGCAGGCCATCCGAGCTATGTGTCCCACAGATCACTTAGGCTCAAAACAATAACATAACTTTATACTTTAAGGAAGTAGAAAAAGAATAGCAAACTAAACCCAAAACCAGCAGAGGAAGGAAATGTTATAGTAAAGATTAGAACAGAGACAAACAAACAGAATACAGAAAAACAATAAAAATCAATGAAACCAAAAGTTGGTTCTTTGAAAAGATCAACGAAGTTGAGAAAGCATTAACTAGACTGACAAGGAAAAATCAGAAGACACAAGTAACTAAAATCAGAAATGAAAGTGGGACCACCAACTTTACAGAAATGATAACATATGATAAAAAAGATTATAAAGGTTATGAAAAATGATATAAAAGAATATTATGAACAATTATTTGCCAACAAGTTAGAAAAACTAGAATAAATGGATAAATTCCTTAAAAAACACAAATAACCTAAACTGACTCAAAAAGAAATAAAAAAATTTCGGGAGACTTATAACAGATAAAGAGATTGGATCAGCAATCAAAACCTCCCAACAAAGAAAAGTCCTGGACCGGATGGCTTCACTGGTGAATTCTGCCAAACATTTAAAGGAGAATTAACACCAGTTCTTCTCGTACTCTTCTAGAAAACTGAACAGGAGAAAACACTTCCTAATTCAGTCTGAGGCCAACATTACTTTGATACTAAAGCCAGATTAAAGATATCACAAGAAAATTATAGAGCAATATCTCTTATGAATATAGATGCAAAAATCTTCAACAAAATACCAGCAAATTGAATTTAACAGCATATTAAAAGGATTATTCACCACGACCAAGTGGGATTTATCCTAGGAATTCAACCAAGGTTGGTTCACCGTAAGAAAATCAATCATGGCCAGGTACAGTGGCTCATGCCTGTAATCCCCAGCACTTTGGGTGGCTGAGAAGGGAGGCTCACTTGAGCCCAGGAGTTCGAGGCCAGCCTGGGCAACATGGCAAGACCCTGTCTCTCTAAATTAAAAAAAAGAAAATTGGCCGGGGGCGGTGGCTCATGCCTATAATCCTAGCACTTTGGGAGGCCGAGGTGGGTGGATCACTTAAGGTCAGGAGTTCGAGACCAGCCTGACCAACATAGAGAAACCCCGTCTCTACTAAAAATACAAAATTAGCTGGGCATGGAGGCATATGCCTGCAATCCCAGCTACTCGGGAGGCTGAGGCAGGAGAATCACTTGAACCTGGGAGGCGGAGGTTGTGGTGAGCTGAGATCGTGCCACTGCACTCCAGCCTGGGCAATAAGAGCAAAAACTCCTTCTCAAAAAAAGAAAGAAAAAAAAGAAAATTGAACGTTATACCACATTAATAGAATGAAGAAAAAAAAAACCCCACTTGATCATCTCAATTGATGCAGAGAAGAGATCTGACAAAATTTAACACCCTTTCATGGTAAACATACTCAATAAACTAGGAATAGACCAGAAATTCCTCAACATAGCACAGGGTGTTTGTGAAAAACCCACGGATAACATAGTCTGTGGAAAAAAATGGAAAGCCTTCCTCTAAGATCAGGAACAAGATAGGATGCCTGCTTTCGCAACGGCTACTCAACACCGTACTGGAAGTGCTAACCAGAACAATTAGACAAGAAAAAATGACCCAATTTGGAAAGGAAAAAGTAAAACTATCTCTGTTTGCAGATGGCATGATTCTATATACAGGAAATTCCAATATATCCACAAAAAGCTAGTAAGAGTTAATTAACAAATCGAGCAAAGTGGCAAGGTACAAGAGCAACATCCAAAAATCAGCTGTGTTTCTATATACAAACAATGAATAATCTGAAAAGGGAATCAGGAAAGCAATTCTATGTACAATAGCAGTTTAAAAAATTAAATATGCTATGGTTTGAATGTGTCTCCCAAAACCCGTGTGTTAGAAACTTAATCCCCAATGCAACAGTGTTGAGAGCTGGGAACTTCATGAATGGATTAATGCTGTTACTGTGGGAGCTTCCTTCTCAAAGGATAAATTCAGCCCTTTTCCCTCTTTCTCGCCCACGTGATGCCTTCCTACATGTTATGACGTGGCAAGAAGGCCCCTGCCAGACACCAGACCCTTGCCAGATGCCGGCTCCTCAAACTTGGATTTCTCTGTCTCCAGACTTTGAAAACTAGATTTCTTTAAAAATTACTCAGTCTGGCTAGGCGCAGTGGCTCACGCCTATAATCCTGGCACTTTGGGAGGGCAAAGTGGGCAGATCAGTTGAGGAGGCCTGGAGTTCGAGACCAGCCTGGGTAACATAGCAGGACCCTGTCCCTACAAAAAATGAAAAAATTAACCCTGTACAGTGGCATGCGCCTGTAGTCCCAGCTACTCAGGAGGCTGAGGCAGAGGACTGCTTGAGTCTGGGATTTTCAGGCTGCAGTGAGCCATGACTGCACTCGTGAACTCTAGCCTAGATGACAGAGCAAGACTATGTCTCTAAAAATAATAATAAAATAAAAATAAAAACCACCCAGTCTCTGCTATTGTTACAGCAACATAAAACAGACTAAGATAAACACTTGGCAATAATCTAAGGAGGTGAAAGACTGTACACTGAAGACTGTAAAACACTGCTGACAGAAATTAAAGAAGACATAAGTTCACAGAAAGACATCCTACATTCATGGATTGGAAGACCGTGTTGTTAATGTGAGAGTACTACCCAAAGTGATCAATAGACTCGATGTTATTCCTGTCAAAATCCCACTGGCAGTTTTTGCAGAAATAGAAAAAAAAATCCTAAAATTCATATGGGATGACAATGGGCCCTGAATAGCCAAAACACTCCTGAAAAAGGACAGCTGGAGGACTCACACTTCCTCACTCCAAAAGTTGTACAAAGCTACAGCAATTAAAACAGTATGGGTCCTTCCCCTCCTCCTCCCCCTTGCCTCCCCCTTCCTACCCTCATGCTCCATCCCTCCCCCTAAGGGGGAGACAAACCCGTATGGTATGACATAAGACAGACATATAGACTGACTGAATAGAACAAGGAACCGAGAGATATACACTTCAAATATGTAATCAATTGATTTTTGTAAGGATGCCCATTCAATGAGGAAATACGGTCTTCAACAAATGGTGCTGGGAAAAGTAGATAACCACATGCAAAAGAATGAAACTGGACTCTTACCTAATACCATTTATAAAAATTAACTCAAATGGATCAGTCACCTAAATATAAGATTTAAAACTATAAAACTTGGCTGGGCACGGTGGCCCATGCCTGCAATCTCAGCACTGTGGGAGGGTGAGGCAGGCGGATTATGAGGTCAAGAGATTGAGACCATCCTGGCCAACACGGTGAAACCCCATCTCTACTAAAAACACAAAAATCAGCTGGGTGTGGTGGTGCACGCCTGTAGTCCCAGCGATTTGGGAGGCTGAATCACTTGAACCCAGGGGGCGGAGATTGCAGTGAGCTGAGATTGGGACATTGCACTCCAGCCTGGGTGACAGAGCGAGACTCTGTCTCCAAAAAAACCTTTTAAAGTTATCACCATCTCCTACTCCCACCCAATGAGTAGAGCTTAGCCAGGTAAAAGGGAAGGGAGAAAAGAGAACTTTCTAAACTCATAGTGCTAGCCAGTAGGGGCATCGGGATGTAAACCACCGGACAGTTCTCCCTCCCCATGCAGCGGGCCCGATTCGCTACGGAGACCTGCTGCCTTCCCTGGGACAGTGTGACACATGGATGTCCTGTAACTCAGCAGTCCAGGAGTGGACCTCTATCTCCTCAGTGCCTACAGAAGAGGGCCTGCACTCCTTCCCCATGGAAAGCATGCCCGTGGCTCACCTTGGTGGCATGAGAAGCGGTGAGTTCTCTGATGAGCTCTTCGAGGGCCCCACCATTCCGGCCACAGAGCACCAGCTTAGCACCAGCAGCATAGAAGACTTTTGCACATTCTAAGGGAAGAGAAAAGAGCCCTGACAGCCATTCTTCCCCAGCGCCGTTCAGTGTAAATTCACCCAGTGTTGCTGTTTGCTGCTTCACACCCTTGACATGTCTGTGTTGGCCTCTGCTTGTGGTGGTCCAGCATGAAGCTGGGAGCTAGGGTCCAGTGCAGGGCTCACACCCAGTGCTACAGACATCCACAGGGCAAAAAGAAAGGCAGGCCGAGGTGGACAGATGTGTTAAGTATCATGCTCAGAACGCCCCATGATACTCCTGTTCACCTGGATCAGCTGTGAGCATCACCTATCTTCACAGCTGAGGGAGCTCAGCAAGGTCACTCAGGCAGAGGCTTGTCCTGATTGACAAGGACAGTCAGGGCCAGCTATTATGGTGCTGTGCCCTGCCAAGGCTGTGTGGTGGCACTACCCAGGCACAGCTCTCCTGGAACTACTCACACAGACCTGTAGAAAAGCTGGGGCAGAGGACCGAGGCCCTTCCCAGGTCTGATGGGCTGTTTCCGAGGGCGTGCTTGAGGCAGAGGGAGCAGACTGCCTGAGGGGCCACAGGCAGATGGAGCTGGGACAGAAGGTGGAGGGTCTAATAGCCTCACTGGCTGGGGAGGGGTCAAGGCAGTGCGCGCAAGTACCTGCCACACGCAGGACTATTAAGGATGCCTGCCTTTGAAAAGGCTCAGTCCTGCTGGGCGGGAGGGAGTGGGGACCCTGGAGGAAAGCAGACTCCACCAAGCCCGCTGCACTATTTCAGGGGACAACCTGTGAGGACTTCAACTAAGACCACAGCAGGGACAGTCCAAAGCTAGCCAGACACGTGGTCTGTATCCTTTTGGTGGCAAGAAACAGAAACTAAACTCACACTGGGGCAAAGCGAAAAGAGAATTTGCCAGAGGGATTGTGGGGAAGTTCAAGAATGGAGAGGAGCGCCGGATGGCCGAAACCTAGGAAGGACCCAAGGGCTGGCTGCCCGGGTGCTCTCACACGTGGGCAGGCCCCAGAGCTCACATGCACGGTTTTGTCTTGTCTCTTTCCAGCTCCGATCAAATCCCAGGGAAGGCCATGATCAGCCCTGAGTGGGGATAATCACAGGTAATTCTCCTGTGGTTAAGCAGGAGAGCCTGACAAAAAAATCCCCTGGACACAGGAGGGTAAACCACCAGAACTGGGGGTGGGGGACTAGTCTGTGGGGAGTCAGAAAGGAAACGGAGTGATGGCAGGAGGGGAGGCAGAGAGGGTGGTGGTGTTGCTTCTTGCTTACCCTCCCCTGCAACATATCCTATAGAAATGTTCAGTGCCCCGAAAACGTCCATACAGCTTATGAAAAGCAGGACAGCCCAGCGGCCAAGAGAATGGACTTGAGCTAGACTTCCAACTCCGGTGAGAACGTCTTTGTTTCTAACTTTCCTCTTATTTAGGACGCTTTTTATCTATCAAGCACAGTAGTAAGCGATTACCTGCCTTAACTCATTCAGCCCCTGGGGGTGTGACTGTGAGACTGAAATGAGTTAAGGCAGGAATCTCTTACCACAGTGTTAGATAAACAGCACCTGCGGTGTCAATTGTCATTTTTGTATTTCTATTTATTAAAAAAAAAATTTTTTTTTTTTAGAGACAGGGTCTTACTCTGTTGCTCCGGCTGGAGTGCAGTGGCACAATGATAGTTTACCGCAGCCTCGAACTCCTGTCCTCACCTGAGGCGTCTCCCTCAAGTGCTCACCAGCAGATCTGCACAGGACACCTTGGCCCCTGGCTGACCCTGACCTGACACCAGTGAGCCACTGACTTGGTTCTAGATGGAATCTTAAGAGGCCCAGGTGATTAGGTGGCGCCCTAGCTCCTGGTTCATGGAAAGGAATGGCCTTTGCCGGCTAGTTCCATCTCTAGGAGCCATGTGGTGAGGGGCCAGTGCTGCAGGCTTGGAGGATCAGGGCTGCCACCTCCTTAGCTGGAAAGGAAAGGTCAGAGGGGCAGGCGGTGTGTACTGGTCTGAACAGGCTGCCCTTAGAGAAGTGTCCAATTTCCTTAAAGCTAGATGGGTTCCAAACAGGGGAGGAGAAGAAACTCCAGCATCCTTCAGGACCAGGGGTCCTGAGAGGCCTGAGGGAAGGCTCCCTGATGTCTGTCTCATGGTATGAAGCCTCCCTGTGCTCCACAGCTTCTTGTTCAGCTCCCTACACAGCATTTGCTCTCTCTCCAGGCGCCTCTCCACACACCCGACAGTCTTTGGGAAAGAGGTGTTAAGTAGACTCAGTCTAGACACACCATCTTCTTTGATGGAGATGAGGTTGGTGTGTTCCTTGGCTCATCCCGACAAAGGGTGGAAGACCAGAGAAAGCACCCACCGTGGGTAGTGAGGCCTGGTCCCAGCGCCCCAACCCTGCCTGCCCTGGTCCTCTTCTCAGTAGAGCAGCAAAGCCCCTACAGGAATGAGGCGGGTGGTGGCTGCACTCCAAGCCAGATGCCAGCATTTCTGAGGCTAGAACTGTTCATCCGGTTTATAAATCATTCCCAAAGGCTAGGAACCTTGGGTCCTGCTGGCTGCCTCACCCCATTTGGTCTTGTCCTGACCAATACATAGGACATTTGTGAGGTGCCACCAAAGGGTGCAGACACAGAACCCTGCAAAGGTGGGAGTCCCGCTGGAGTCTAAACTGCTTTGGGGAATTGACTGCCTCAATTCTGTTTGAGTTTTGCTTCCGAGCAAAGCTAAAAAGAGAGGAAATGAAAGTTTGTGTAGGGAGTGACAGAAATGAAAACAACAGATTGGAAGGATTCCATTTTCATTTATTGAAAAGCTGATACTGGAAGGTCGGAGGGTCCAAGGAAAACAGCTCCAAGGTACATACGTGAAGGGCTGCAGATGACTGTCCAGTGCCGCTGGCACGCCTAGCTGGAAATCAAGAGAGCTGTGCACAGCCCTGTGGCTAAAGCTGGAGGAAGCAGATATCCAGAATGTTCTGTTCCTTTAGTCAGTGGTCCCACACTATTCTACAAGGACAAGAGGCTTAAATACACAAAACAAGAGACAAGATAGGAGAAATACGAAAAACTGAAGACTCATTGCATAACTCCAGACCTTCCGGGTGGCTGACACGGCAGGCAGAGCCACTGAGGACAACATAGCTCTGCCTCCTCACAGAAGCAAGGCAACAGCAGCACGTCCTTGGTGGCATCAACAGTGGCTGTACGTGACATGGCCGGTTAAGAATCTGCTCTACTTTATCTGGATGGAGGAACTCCTGTTCCCAAAAAGTAAAATGGGGCAGAATACAAGCAGTGACTGGAATCCAGGAAGGGCCTGACATCTTAGGATACACAGTACAGGTCTGGTGACCTCCGTGACATTTTCTGCTCCCTTCATAGTCTTGGTGTCAGGAGAGGAGATGCAGAATGAAGAGGACAGCTTGTTTCTCAAACATTCACGGATGGGAGCACCTGCGACCCAGAGCTCCACCTCTGCCGGCCCTCAGATGCTCTTCAAGGACTTCCACAAAATGCTTCTCTTTGAGCTCAAGAGAAGTGGCTGCTGACCACCCTATATATAGCAACTGAGTAAGGTCAGAGGACTGACGATGGCAAAGGGCCTGCAGACAGCTGTCCCTGCAAAGGTCTGGCTATCCAATGACAGACACGGTATTTACCCCTGGAGACCTCACCTAACATCCACAGTGGTGCATAAATGAATCCATACTCCCTAAAGCCTTCCCAGGCCACCCCTGGCCAACTGCAGGCCACTTCCACCACAAAGACCCATCTGCTTCTCTGTGTTCATGCAACACCCAACTGTTTATAAGTCCCTGCGGGACCGTGCTTCTCCCACCTCCGGGCCTGTCTGGAATGTTCTGTCTACCAGCCCACCTATTCCTTTTACCTGGCCATCTCCCCTGCTGCAGCTTTGAGACTTGAGTTCTAGAGACAGAGAGATGTGGGTTTGACTCTTGGTTTTGTACTTTCTGGCTGGAAGTCCTAGTCATTCTTTCTCTGAATCTCAGCTGTGAGAAGTCAGTGAGATAATGCATGTAAAAATGCTTAGCACAAGCCAGCACATATACACGTGCCTTGTCGCCCCCGGGCTGGTTTGGGAGCATATGTTACTGCAATGGCAATACGGTGAGATAAGTCCTTGCCTTTCTCCTTACAGCAGTCAACTGTGACCTCCTTCAAGGAAGGGACCCTGTCTTTCATCTGTTTGTTCTAGAACCTGACCCAGAGCCTCCCACTTAGCAGGCGCTCCATCAGCTCCAGCTGAGCTATCACCAACCAGAAGACGTAGCAGCGGGTGGGTCACCACAATTCAGGGAACTCCTCAGCCTTCTTCCATGGAACTCAGCGTGAGCGTGGATGGTAGATGGTATGGTGTGTGCATGTGCAACGTGCTAAGTCAATATACATGTGTGGCAAGAAAACAACGGAGCCCTGTAACTCAGAGGCTTCCAGAAATGGGAGAAGGGGGAACCCAGGTTTTGGCACTCCAGGCCAGGGTCCTGGTACACCATTCCTGAGACTTAGAAGCTCATGGTGTTCAGTGGGTTGGAATGGACCTAGACTGGAGACCCTGGAACAGCTGAGGCACCATTTATCCTGTCTTTGACCTTGCCGAGACCATGCTGAGGGGACAGCTGGGGGCCTGGCCTGGGAACGCAAGGCCCAGAGAAAGCGTGCACCAAAGCTGTGAACCGGAGGTCCCGGCTGAATCTAGGAAAGGACATGTTTCATTTGGTCCTCATAGAGGTAAAAACACATTTTAAGTTAGGTGTCCGTATTTGGAAATTGGGAGATTTCACATAAAATTCCTACCTCAGCAAGCAGCTGGGGCTGAGCAGGGCTGCCCTGTGAGGGGCAGGCATCCCATCCCATCCCATCCCATCCCATCCCACCCCACCCCCCAGGCCAGGCTGCTTCTCTCGCGCTTGCCTCCCACCCTGATGCTGAGTCATTTCTCACTGTGCTTTGGCTCCTGCTTTTCCCACTTGGACCAAGGACAGTGCCATCCAGCCCACTTCCCTCATCTGGACTTCTGCTGCCGCTTTGGGCATTTGCGCTGGTGGTCCCTGTGCAGCTGGGCCGCTCCCCATCGCTGGCTGACTTCCCCCCGCCCCCCGGCAGCATGGCCTCCAGCACCCACCTTTGCCCAGCCCTGAGGTGGCGCCTGTGATCACCACCACAGCATTCCGCAGGTAGGCCTTCCCGCGCACCCACTGCAGCAGCCGGAAGAGGCCGAAGACGCCCAGGCAGCCGAACAGCAGGGGCAGGATGGCTGTGGAGGTGATGAAGTCCATGGCCCTCGCCTTTGGCAGATTCTTCCTGGGAGAACCAAAACCAAACACACCAGTGACAAAGTAGCAGAGCTCAGGGGACTTTCCTAGGCTCTTGCTCTCATCGGATACGAATCCTAGATCTCCCTCTGTGGACCCCAGAAAGTACTGACCCAGGCCCTGCACCCTCGGCTGACTGTTGAGCATTGTGGAACTTTCTCCCTCTTACTCAGTACTGACATGAGCGGACAGAAAAGCCACAGGCCTCATGCTGCCCCTCAGGGAACAAGCGGAGAATGCCATTCAGCCTAGGATGTAGTCACCCACAGTGTTACAGGAAGAGGTGGCGTGTCGGTACTCACCTACCTCTCTTTCAGAAACCTCTGTTGGCCTTACCTCAAGTAACGCCTGTTTTCATTTTCACTCCCTGAATACTTGTGAAACTAGAAGGGGGTTTTTTTGAGGAAAGGAAAAAGGAAATCGTACCAATTCTTATCCTCTTCAGAGCAGACACTCAGAGGATGGACGTTTCTGGGTGGAGCAGCCCCTAGATTGTTACAGTGAGGGCCACAGATGGACTTCTGACCACAGGCCTCGCAGACACCCAAAGGGGATTCAGTGCAGGGCCCTGCCCCAGGCACCAGCGTGGGCTCCGGCTGGTGAGCGTGTTGCCCTGCTGTGCCTGTGGCATGTTCTTGCCCAGCATTCCCCAGTGAGCCGTGAAATCCGCAGGCTGTGTGAGTGTCTGTGCAACAGTGTGCAGTTGATTCTTGGGAAATGTGTGTTTTTCCCCATCTGCCCTTATTTCCCCTGAACCTCCCCCATTCTTCCACATTCACCTGTCCCCCTGTGCCCAAAGCAGGAGATAAGATGGGGACACAGGGTTAAAGGAAGGCCGAGGAGGAGCTGGTGAGGACCGTGGTGAGCACCATGTGCCGTCGCTGGGAAGCCATGCCCTGGAAGGCCACTGGATGAGCGAGCCAGCATCTGTGAGACAAAAGTCCCCCAACAGTCCACCTCCAGGGCTGTGGTTTACAAGCACAGAATCCTTCTCAGGAAGGAAGAGGCTGGAATCCAAGAAGAGAGTTCTGGCAAACCAGCCTGTAGCTCTAAATTATTCATCAGCTTGGAGCAATGATGTAAAACCCTCACTCACCTACTTAATATCCCATCTCAAGCCCACACATCAAAAAAAAAAAAAAAAAAATTCTGCTTCCTTTCCTAAGAGGACATCAACTCTGGATGCCAGAGTGAGGCTAGGAACACTGTGGACTCCCAACACGCATCCATCTATGCACCAAGTCGCTTTGATCCTGAAGTTCATGTTCAGGGTGGCTGCCCTGATCTATACTAAACTGCCCCCTACAAGAGGATTCTACTGCAACTGGAACTGTCAAGTCAACTAGTTTAGCATTTACTTTTTCACCTGCTTTTCCAGATATGCCTGAATTCTTAACCACCGTAAAAAACAGCCACATTCTCGGACTGTAAAAATGACAGTTTCCCACCAACCGCCACTCAATCCACTTCTGAAAACACCTCAGCTACTATCTGCTGTGTGGATAAAGCTCCCTCTTGCCCTACACTATGCCAAGCCTCCGCTGGATGAACTGGGGATTAAAGTGGTATCTAAAGCACCAAGCTCTTCACCCAGGCACTACTGGTAGCATCCCTGCCCCAAGAGGAAGCTCTGGCCAGGTGTTCTTGCCTGCAGGCTATGCTGGGTCCCAAGGACCCTTTGTCTGGAATCTGAGAAGTGCTCAGGAAAGGTGTAGGGTAGGCACCGAGGCCTGTCCTACTCCAGGGTTCTGTGGGTGCTGTCTGAAGTCCTGCACAGGACCAAGATCCTGAAAACAGGGAATGTGGGAGGGTTTCCCAGGGGAAGGAGGGATAGACGGTGGGAGGCAGGAATGGTTGCCAGTTTGTTGATATAGCTTTACCAGAAAATTATAGCAATTGACAAAAGGCAAGAGAAGGCTCGAGGTAAGGGTAGCTTAAAACTTGCATATAATAAGCTGGTTGAGGGATGGGGGCTTAGGAAGAGTTAACTTGGCTGGATGGCTATTTGGTAAACGCTTTTTTCCCACTGCAATCACAGGTCTTTGTACCAGGTAGGTCTCAGGGTGGGACCACCCTGCCTTGTCCAGAATGGCCCAGGGCCCAGCCACTGCCCAGGATGAGCTTGAGGTACAAAAGGGGTGGGGGCCTCAGCTCAGGGAAGGATAGTAGGCCTCAGCCTCTGGGGCTGGGACCCGGAGCCCCACTAGGCGTGTTGGGTGGAAACCCCTCTGAACACTCCGCCATGGCCCCTGGAGACCAGAGCCTGTGACGTCCGCCCCATTTCAAACCGACGACCTAGGGCTGAGGCAGAACGCCGCTGAGGTCATGGGGGTCAAGAGCCAAGTATGCAGTCTGTCGCTTCCCAAAACCCAGAGGCCACCTGAAAAACACTAACTGCAGCACAACAGTGGCAGTGCAGGGGTCATGAGGATGAACCCTCAAGCCAGCCTGGCTTGGGTGACACCCTGGCCCAGTCACTTGGCAGCCTGGCAAAGAGGCCTCACTGCCCTGGGCCTCAGTGTCCTCACCTCTGAGCTGAAGTTATGAGAGGACCTCCCTCCTGGGTTTATTACGATGTTGGATGAATTCATCTGTGTGCACAGAGGGAACACAGCTGCCACCAGCATCATCATGATCACGACTACCTCAAAGTTCCTGGACCAGGACCTCACCTCCCAGCAATCAGGCTCCCAAGGCTGTCTGAAGGGACCCCTGGCTCATTAAAGGAAGCTCATTAAATGTATTAAGTGTCCAATGTTGTTTAACTTCTATATCTTCATCAACCCTTCAGTTTAATCAAATCAACCAATAGGAAAAAGCTCCATCCACAACATTGGCAGAAGTCAGGCTCTCGTGTCCCAAGTTTTGTGTTAGAAAATGTGGTTATCAAGGCCAGCAAAGCAGGAGAGAGCAGACAGGTACCAAAATGTCCCTCAACCCCATTTTCACACCCAGGGAGGAGTAGGATGAAAATAAGCCAGCCCAGCAAGGCTCCCCAGTGGAAGATGATTAAAGCTCCCAACAAATTGTACTTTCATGCAACCTAGTTAAAACTCAAGCCAGCAATCTATGACATGAAGAAAAGAGAAAACTACACACCGTCTTGTACACTTCTGGGATTCCTTGAGCACCTGACACATCATAGGCCAGCCTTGGTCTCCTGGCCCTGGGGACCACTTTGCCTGAGGCAAACATGGCGCCGGGTGAATGGGATCCATCCTTGGCCCGGGCCGCTTTCTGTGGGGAGAGCGCACGTCTGCATTCAGTCTGGTAGGTTGCTATTGAATCAGAATGCAAAGCAAATTAAAAGCCAGTGCCAAGGCCAAACGCAGTGCCTCGTGCCTGTAATTCCAGCACTTTGGGAGGCTGAGGTAGGGGGATCGCTTGAGCCCTGGAATTCAAGACCAGCCTGGGCAACATGGTGAAATCCCATCTCTGCAAAACATACAAGAACTAACCAGGTATGGCAGTACACGTCTGTAGTCCCAGCTTCTTGGGAGGCTGAGGTGGGAGGATTGCTTGAGCCTAGGAGGTTGAGGCTGCAGTGAGCCAAGACTGTACCACTGCACTCCAGTCTGGGTGACAGAGTGAGTCCCTGTCTCAAAAACAAACACAAAACAAAATCCAGTGCCAACTCTCCCCTGCTAACAAAGAATGACCATGGTGGGAAAAGATACCCCAGAGCGAGCCGTTTATCTGAGAATCAGCTTCAATTCCAGCCTAACTTTCCTGACCGGATGCAGTTGTTCATATTGATAATCCTGACTCCTTCCAGAGTTCTTCAAATTCTGAAAGCCCTCCTAACTGTTCTTCCACTCCGCAGGGCACGTGGCCACACAGCTGGGCCTGCTTGGGCTCTTAGAGACAGCTGCGCCAACACTTTCCTAGCTTGTCTTTGGAAGTGGGATGGCCAGGAGAGCTAGCCACGGAAAGCCCCACCACCTTGCCGTGGTGTCTAGGCCTTTCTACCAGCTAAAAGGACAGCTTCACAGTGGAAGAAAGGAACAGTGTTCTAGCTGGCCACATTTCCAGATTAGGACATACATCTACATAAAACAAGGTCAAAGGGAGGCCTGTTTTCTTTGAAAATGGCATACAAGAAGGATTTATATATATGTACAAACTTTAATATATTTATCAATCATGCATTTTATACCAAAATCCTTATTAACTGCTAGTTTCAGATAGATAGTCGGATCATGGACTCAGAAGGCAAGACTGATGGTATAAAAAGGGACTGGGAAACAATATCTGGCTCACGATTTTCAGCATTTGGAGATCAGCTTGTAGAGAGAAGGGGCAGTGTTTGTCCCGCACCACTGTGAGCCATGGCGGAAAGTAGGACCAGAGACATGGGGAGAGAGAGTGAGGCCAGAAAAAGAAGGTGAGAGCCCCTCAAATAGAAACTATAGTGCACACGGCATCTGGAATCAGAGGGCACCACCTACACATGGAATGTGCACACTCACAGTCACACTCTTAGTCCTTGGGCAAGAGACCCGAAGCATGGTCTCGCACTGATGATGAGACTCACAGACTGGTGTGAGGAAGGGAGAGAGCTCAGGGGCTCACATATTAATGCTGTCTGCTTGTATTTTCATCCCTTGCCAGATCCATGAGCTCTAGACCCAAGTTAAAAGAGTGCAAAAGGGCCGGGCGCGGTGGCTCACGCCTGTAATCCCAGCACTTTGGAAGGCCGAGGCGGGCAGATCACGAGGTCAGGAGATCGAGACCATCCTGGCAAACATGGTGAAACCTCGTCTCTATTAAAAATACAAAAAATTAGCCGGGCGTGGTGGCGGGCGCCTGTAGCCCCAGCTACTCGGGAGGCTGAGGCAGGAGAATGGCGTGAACCCGGGAGGCAGAGCTTGCAGTGAGCCGTGATCGCACCACTGCACTCCAGGCTGGGCAACAGAGTGAGACTCCAAAAAAAAAGAGTGCAAAGGTAGCAAAGTCCCTCTAGGGGTGAGTGTTCCTTGGGCTCGGGTAGCCAGAGTTCGGTGTTTCTCCCTGTGATTCTGCTGCTCCTTTACTTTCTGCTGAACCCACCACTGTCTAACTCCCTCATATCCGTGCATGCAGCTCATCCACCCTTTAAAGGGCTTCTGGAACCTCAAATTAGACATGAGACTATCACCAGGAAATCAACTCTGAGCACAAATGTCACCCTTTATGTCATCCATTCCATTCCTTCTACTTTGGCCAAAATTCTCCATTGCATTTCACAGACGGAATCCGTTCCTAAGATTCCTTTCTCTCGAGCATTTTTTTTTAAAGAACTGTTAATAAAAATAGGTTGTTGGAATCTACTCAGAAACCACACATAGAAATTAAACTACTAACAGCCACATCTGACAATCAAAGGAGGGGATCTCAAAACCCACCAAAGATTTTTCAAAAAGAACAATTTCAGGTCTGTAAGAAGGATTAGCCATGAAATAATTTGCCATGTTACACACAAGAAAATTGGGCTAAAGGGCAGAGAGGAGTTCCAATTGGAAGGCAAAACACTGAAATCACACGGCAAGGATTGGCTTAGTACCGCTAAAGCAGTTAGGATCCTGCTCCCACAAACCTACACCTGCTCTTTTATTTTATAACCAATGGCCAGTTCTAATCAGCTGCTCTATTTAAGGTGACATAAACTATGGGTCATGCTTATGACCCATATCTTGAAATAAATCTGAAAGCTTCTGTCATTTTCAGAAAGTAAAGGCAGGGTCAAACTACTTTTTTTTTTTTTGGTCTCAAATGTCTGAGAAGCCACGTTAAGGGTGCCTTCGACTGGAGAAAAAAAAAAAAGAACAATATCCTACCTCAGATGGCAGCTACTTTGCCAGTGGCGGGTCCTAGCGCCAGTGTCTTCTCTGGTCTTTTGACCTGGGCCAGAGGACACCTTCAGGTCAGCAAGCCCTCCCTGGAATGCCTGAACGAGCCACGGCAGAGTGGCCCGTGGGGTGTATTTTCAGAAGCCAGCCTTCAGCCCCTTGGTTTAAAAGGGTACAGGCTGGCTTTAGTAAAAATAAAACCAGAAGGAAGATTTCAGACCAGGCTCCTGAGTGTTCAATCCTGGGAAGAGCAGCCACATTGAAGTGAGCTCTGCTCTCCAGTAAGACGCCGAGCACATGCTTCCCAGCAATCCCATGGGGTGGGGGGGGGCGGGGAAAGGTGCCAAAGCCCAGCCCCGGGCCCTGTAATGTGATGGCACAGGAGTGCGGTGACAACGAGCAGGAGGCAGAGCCCGCGCCAAGTCTGCCTGTTCATTTTGGCCTAAAGCCCTGCTTATCAATTATAGCACTTACTACGGCTACCTAGGAACTTGGACACACACAATTTTGTTTTTTAAAGTGTTTTTCTGTTTTTGTTTTTGTTTTTTTTTTTGAGACGGAGTCTCACTCTGTTGCCCAGGCTGGAAAGCAGTGGTGTGATATTGGCTCACTGCAACCTCCACCTCCTGGGTTCAAGTGATTCTTCTGCCACAGCCTCCCAAGCAGCTGGGACTACAGGTGCATGCCACCACGCCTGGCTAATTTTTGTATTTTTAGTAGAGATGGGGTTTCACCATGTTGGCCAGGCTGGTCTCAAACTCCTAACCTCGTGATCTGCCTACCTCAGCCTCCCAAAGTGCTGGGATTACAGGCGTGAGCCACCACGTCCAGCCTTAATGTGCTTTTTAAAGTGAATTTAGATCAGGCGTAGTCACTCACACCTATAATCTCACCACTTTGGGAGGCCAGGGTGGGTGGATTGCTTGAGTTCACAAGTTTGGGACCAGCCTGGGCAACATAGAGAAACCCCGTCTTTACCAAAAATTTAAAAATTAGCCAGGAGTGGTGGCACGCACCTGTAGTCCCAGCTACTTGGGAGGCTGAAGTGGGAGGACGGCTTGAACACAGGAGGTGGAGATTGTGCCATTGCACTCCAGCCTGGGTGACAGAGTGAGACCCTGTCTCAAAAAAAAAAAAAAAAAAAAAGGTGAATATAGTGTTGCTGGAAGACATTGGAATAATGTCACTCTCTTTCCTCGAAAACACACCAGAGGCCCAGGCCCCCCGCACCCGCCCCTGACAGAAACTGGACAAGGCACTGACTGTGGTGGTAAAGACGAGAAAGCACCATGTCAGCACAAGGGAGGGGGGACAAGACCACCGTGCTGCATACTTGCTGTGCAACACAGGCAGATTCATTCACTACTTGAAACTAAGTGCACTCACATCAGAATGGGGATGGTCGCTCCAATGGGAAAATGCATGGGAAAGCACTTTGTAAATGTGAAAATTTTGAACAACTGTGCTGCTGTTGAATCATAAACTGACTGAAAAAAGGCAATTCCCCAGAGAAAATTTCAGAAACGTTCCAAGCAATAGCAGCCAAGCTGGCAGCTTTAAGGGCTTGTCATGTTTGAGTATGTTTGGTAGAAAGACCAACCTTATTCCTCCACACCCACACCAGGGATCACCTCAGATCCTGGATGTCGTGCACTCCTCCGCTCAACTACACTTCTTGAGTGCCCTCTGGTACCAGGCACCGGTCTAGGGCTGGGGTGGAGGGCAATGAAAGAAGGAGAAAAGCTGTCTGACCTCATGGAGGCAGCCCCTATGGGAGACTGACAATACACAAAGAAACACAAAAATTAAATAATTGTGATAATGAAACAAACAATCAATGTAAAACAACACAGAGTAGTGGGCTGTCCGAAGTACAAGCCTTGCCTGAAGACTTCATTCAAAGTGAAAACAATTCAAACTGCTATGCTGGCCGAACACCGCACCTGGCCGAGGCCACTGCTGGTTTGTGACTCCTAAATCAGATTATTGTCTTTAAAAATTACATATAACAACAGCAACAAGACAGATAAGATGCCAACATAAATATGAGGTCAGAAATCTAGTTTAAAAGGAGATGCTAGAGCGTCAACTAGAGTATCTAAGAGGAACTATATACAGGCATCAGTTTCAGACTTAATTAAGCAAGGCTGGCCCAGTGGCTCATGCCTGTAATCCCAGCTACTCAGGAGGCTGAGGCGGGAGGACTGCTTGAGCCCAGGAGTTTGAGACCAGCCCGAGCAACACAGTGAGACCCTGTCTGTATAAAAAAAGTGAAAAAAGTAGCCAGGTGTGGTGGCATGCACCTGTAGTCCAGCTACTTAGGAGGCTGAGATGGGAGGATTGCCTAAGCCCAAGGAGTTTGAGGTTATAGTAAGCTATGATGATGCCACTGCACTCCAGCCTAGGAGA